CAAATAAATAAAACAAATAAATAAAACAAATAAATAAAACAAATAAATAAAACAAATAAAGAAAACGAATAAAAAAAGAAGTAAATAAAACAAATAAAGAAAACGAATAAAAAAAGAAGTAAAAGAAATAAATAAAACAAATAAATAATGAAAAGTAATAAATAAAACAAATAAATAAAACAAATAAATAAAATATAAAAAAGAAATAAAAAGATAAATAAAAAGAAATAAAAAATAAAAAAAGAAATGAAGAAAGAAATAAAAAGAAATAAAAGAATAAAAAGAAGCAAAGCAAACAAAGAGATTAAAAAAATAAAGAGAAAGAAAAGAAATAAAGAAATGAAACAGCAGCAGCAGCAGCAGCAGCAGCAGAATATCACGTGCTGCTGCTGCTGCTGCTGCTGCTGTTTACTTTATCCTGCTGCTTTACTGCCCTTCTTTGCTGCTGGTTTGCTGCTATTAATAACACTAATAATATATTATTATTATTATTCGTACTGTAATAATAATATTCTTTTACTGTACAGTATAATAATATGATAAATACATATATATATATACATGCATATATAGCTACATATATATATACATATATATATACATGTATATATATCTACATATATATATATGTATATATATATAATATATACGGTAGTAATATGCTATATTAGATATATATTATTATTAGAAAATAATAATATATTATTACTATCTACTACCATATATATATATATATACATATATATATATATATATTACGAGTATATAATATATATATATATGTATATATTATATAATCGTAATAATATATTACTTTGAGGGTTGGCTATGCCTATTAGACGCCCTCAACAAAACACAACAAAGTAGACAAAGCAAATAAACGAAACAAATAAAATTAATCGATAAAATAATTAAATAAATAAATAATTATAATAATTAAAAACAACTAAACAAAACAAAAAACCCAATCGGGGAGCAGCAGCATCAAGCAGGCCCCCCAAGAGCTGCAGCAGCAGCAGCCGCAGCAGCAGCCGCAGCAGCACCGGCAGCAGCAGCAGCAGCTGCTGCTGCTGCTGCTGA